AGAGGAAATGTTTTGAGAATGATGAGGGCAATGAATGTACAAATGGGCTTTACACAATTGATGTGTGTATGGATTGTGATTATGATCCCCTAATAAAATGATTTTTAAAAAAAAGCTCCTCAAAAGCTACGGCCCAAGGCTTGGGCTCCCTGGCACCCACTGTCAACTGTGCTCAGGCTGGCTGCTATCTAGAAGCTCTAATCTTGTCAACTCTCAATGGAAATGGCAGAGCCAGACCATTTTGCACAGCAACTAAGGTGGAGAAGTATATGCTTTATGCAGTTCACATATAAAAATATAGTTGAGGGATGGCTTTGCATACAGGTATCCAGAAGACAGCAGGGGACATCCACTCCTCTGAGCCAGAGGGCACCCACCCCACAGGGGGACTGGCTGTCACTGAGGGCCGCCTATGGGACTGCCAAGAGTTCCCTATGCCCGAGCCCTCAGTGTCATCACTGGCAGCCACATGGAATGAAGGGGGCATGGCAGCAGACCAGACTTCCTGATGAGAAAACATCCAACTAGAAAGAAGGTGAGCTTTCTCACCTCCTCAATAAAAGCCGTGTCGTGAATCGAGTAGAACACCCACTCTCACATAATTAGTATCCCCACTGCCCCAATCTACAATGTGAATTAGTCATTTACAACCTTTGAAATAGTTATTGCTTAAGCAAGTCAATCAGGGAGTAGGCTCTGGGTCTGGACAGACATGCTCTGAGTGAGGCTCCACAGCAAAGGGCCTTTCATTTCCCTAGCAGCCCACACCCTACATAAATACTTCACCATCAAGAGGGGAGGCCAGCCAACGGCAGCAAACGCACAACCCTACTCTGATGCATGAAAACTTGATTTCTTACTCAAACAAACCCCTTTTTAACTTTCCTTTTAAAAATTAAGGCAATGAAATGGCTACGGTTCCTAAGTTCTCTTCATGGGCCAAAAATACACACATCACCACCTAAAGTTTAGGCATCGGAGCACGACAGAGACCTAGATTATCCAAAACCTGCCATCCCGTGTTGATTAAGTGTGAGCGAGTGCGTGTGCATGCGTGTGTGAGAGAACATGCACGTGGGAGAAAACATGTATGTATGCGAAAAAGATGCCCACAAACAGCTGGTGCTATTTCCCCCATTCTGTCAATCACAAACGTAATCATCAAAGAGGGGGGGGGAAAGCTTGAAAGCAAAAAAACAAAACAAAAAAATCTCCTCAGTTTTCCATATCTTTTGCCTGATTTTCAAAGCTCCTCAGCTGGTGGGTGGGGAGCTTATTACATGAAGATTCCAAATGCCAATAACCAGAAATTCTGACCACAGATCTTAGGCGTGGGCCCCCAAATTTGCCTTCCCTACCAGCTTCTCCGGGTATAACAGTGACCCAAGGGAGCATTCTGGGAAACACTGGCCTAGCAGGTACTCATGTGACAATAACAATTCCTAAACTTTGGCTAGCCACTTTTGTTTGAAAAAAGGGGGAAAGGCACTGGATACGTATTTTGTGGTGCCCATATCTGTTTGCACATGTATGGAATTTCGTTTTGAACGTTTTAAATCACTGCTAAAAATCTACAATACCTATATGACAGAGTGTGGCTGACAGTTACAGCAGAAGCAGACTCAAAGTTGCCCTCTCCTGCTTCACAGAGCAAACGGGCAGGCTCTCCAGATCCAAACAACGAGGAACAGGTACGAGACTCAAGTCAACTGTCGGCATTGCAGTGCACTTGCAGAAAGGATCTAATTTAAGCGTTACGTTTTGTTGTTTATTTTACACAAAGGAGGCCACCAACATTTGCCATAAATTCTTCTAAACTCTTGAGGAAGGCCATCTTCTGCTTCCGATCCAGCGTGGGAGGAGTGCTGCTGGCGGTCAGCTTGTTGAAGGCGTCTGCTAACCGCTGGTAAATAACGGGGTCTTGCTGACTTGATAGCAAGGTTTCCACCAATTCAGAATATTCGGCCTGTGGAAGAGAGAATGTGTACATGAAAGCCCATCGTCCTTAGGAGAGCGCACAGGCTGGGTGGCTAGAGGGCGGAACTGGACAGCTCTTTGATAACGAACACTTCCGGGAAGCTCTCTGTTCTAGGCACTGTGCCCATGTCTCACATGAATGACCTCGGCGCCTAAGGACAGCCACGCTCTGGAGGAGGCACAGGGTATGTGCCTGGTCTACAGGTGGGGCTCTGAGACACAGTGTGATGGCAACACAGTGAGACAGTGTCACATAGTCAAGATACACCCTCCCCCCACCCCCCGTACGCCAGCAGCCCAGCCCTCGGGCTCCGAGCCCATATGATTAACGACTGTGTGGTGCCGCCTCTTTAGTGTGTTTAAAGCACATCATTAATTTACTTGGCAATTTACACAAAGGCAAGCTCTGCTATGTGACTGTCCCTTCTTTTCCAGGGCTTCATCGGCACAACTTGTCAACTCCGTCCTAAGGACCGCCACCCTTCACACCAAGGCTGGTGGGAGTGCTGGGCAGGTGTGTGTCGTCCTTTCTGAAGCAGGAGAGAGCACTCAGGAGGGTCACACACCTAGAGCTTGAGCTCAGCAGGAAGAGGCCATTCGGAAAAAACAAACAAGAGTTGCAGCACTGCAACCCCTTAGCCACATGCCTGGAGCCAAGGTGGCTACCCTAATCTCCATGTCCAAGGCTCAGTCTGATACAGACCAAGTGGGGGTCCACCTCTGGGGTAGCATCCTAGCTATTCACAAGTCCCCATTTTCTTTCCTAGGTATACAGTTGTGTTTGGAGTTTCTCTCTGGGGACACTACCTCCCAGGTAAGCACTGAGGAAACCAAATGACAGAGAGGGGTCACAGACCTGGAAGAGAAGCTACCACCTGGGGATGGTCTATCTTTATAGCAGAGAGCAAAGTCCTAATTCTCATAGCACCTTCAGCTTGGAGTACAGATGGGTAACAGACTGTAGGAAGGGACTCTTGAGTACTATGAGATGGTCCTCAAATCCCATTTCTGTCTTAAAATGGAAATGAAATCAAACCCGGCCTGCCAAGCAGTCGCAAGTGTTAACTGGTAGTTCCCAGACGGGTGCGAGAGATGGGAAACGGAGGGAGGGGGTGGGCCAACAGGAGGATTCTTTCTGATACTGGCCGGGCACCTGAGCCAAGATAATGTTTCTTCAAATCAGTGAGTGCTTCAGAGTTTCTTCAAAGGCTCCACAAAACAAAATGAAATGATACACTATTTCTGTCAACTCTCCCCCAGGCTTGGCTTACTCATCGTGTGTCCCTGACCAGCCAACTGAAAGACAACAGACCATGAAATATGTTCCCAGGAGCCAGGCGTGTCCACACTGGTGGCTTCCTTAGGGCAGTTCTTTCTGGGCAAGCTCTGGGGCAGTGGCCATCCAGGCACTTGGAAGGGAAGCTGGTGATGGTAGCAAAGGGAAAAGGTGGGTGCAGTAACTATTACAGGTGGCTTGTTGGGTCAACTTTTACAAAGTTAGAGCTAAGAAATGCGGCCCTCGCTTTGAAATAGCAGGTGGATTCAGAAAGTTCCTGGACAAACAGAAGTTAAAGGAAATGGAGTTTTCCTTGAAATTTTTGAACCCTGCCCTGCAGAGTGGAAGGCCAGAACCACAGAGAGTATACACCCTGCAGGCATAGGGAGCCGCAGGTCTGAACAACTTCCCTGCAGTGCTGGCCCCCCCAGTTTGGGGCAGGGGCCTGCTCCCCGATACCTGATGTAAGCACACTAGTGTGTAGAACGCTTCCCCGGCAGCTGTTGTCATCTCGGTGCTGTGCTTCTGCAAAACCAGCATATCAAACACCAGCTGAAATGACAACACGGATTTCTTATGAGAACTCACTGATGGTGGGATAGGCACCACCACCCCGGCCCGCCACACTCAGAAAAAGCTGGGGGGGGAGGGGGGCGCGACGCTTATCTTGATTTACTTCTTCAGACTGATTTCACGAGAGGAAGCTCTGAAAAACCCATGGAGAACTTCCAATTATCAAGCATCCGATTACGCTGGCCAATCAAAGATCCCAAATCTCTCCCAAGACAAACAGCAAACAGAGAGCAAGCACGCCGCCCTCAGTGCCGCTCCTTGCTGGAGGACAAGCTGGTGCACCATTCGGATGTATCTAGCAGGTGATCTTGCTGCCTGTCGCCTAAATCGCTTACCTTGAGAAAGTGCCGTGTTGCCAGAAAAAGCGGTGAATCTGTTTCTTGTGCTTTCGCACACTGTTCTGCTAACGGCGTCAAGGCCTCCAGGCAGAGCTGGCAAACCTCCGAACTCATCCTGAGCATGCGGGTCAAGGAACAAACCGCATGGGAGTGACTTGGTTTACAAGAGATCAAGAAATCAGAGCTCTTATCAATAGCTAGAAATGGAGACCGAGATACACATGTCAACCTGTTAGTGTCAAGCACATCTCAAATGTTTCTGCCACGTGGCTTGGGTCCAGGACTGCCGACTTCCAGTCTGCTTCTGCTCAGGACACAGACAAGGCGTGAAGCGCTGGAGAGGGCCATGATGGAGGTGGCACATGCTGCCAAACGCAGTTCAAGGCAGACTGTCACAAATGCACCCAGGACGACAAAGCACGAGGAACACAGAATTAGACAACTACGGAGGCAACATCTTTTGGAATAAAATGGAACCACAAAACAAGAAGCGAACACAAATTTTAGACACTTCTCTGTAAGTAAGGTCTTTCCCCCAGGTAACAAGTGACGCTCATGTAAAGGATACGATGTCATTCCTAGTTCGAGGGAGTACATGAGGCTTTTAAAGAGATCTTCAGGAAGCTGTGGAATTTTTTCAGGAAATATCTCACAGATGAATGTAATTAATTTGTAGTACTGATTACACAGGGTTGGAAACTGAAACAGAAATAATAAACATTTAGACAATATTGTTCGAGTTGCATTTTCAGGAAATGCAATTAAAGAAATAAGCATCTAAGTACAATGATTTTAAAAATATGTGCATGAACCCAAGCAGGAAAGCCTGATCCAATGGAAAGGTTAAGTTGAAGGGCAGTAGGAAGCATTTTAAGTAACTTTTTACGAAGAAGGGAACAATATGCAAAAGGGGCCATTCTTGTCTGGACAGCAAGAGAAGCTAGTCCATTCCGGACCTTCTGTGCTTGCATGGGAAGCGTAAACGAGGCAGGCAGCTCGGAAATGGCTAAACAGCCTGGTAGTAAAAAGCTATGTAAACCTGTTTATTCCATTCGTGCTTATTAGACTAAAACAAGAAAGCGATACACATGGTGAAGGCTACACTCAGAAAGGAGCGGTCAGTCCTTCCCACTTCCAAAGTGACTTTCTAGTCGGATCATCCCGGAGAGGTGAGGCGAAGAGCAAATAATCTACCACTGAACTGCCTTGAAGAGACTATTCCTGGGACTATTCCATGGTAATCTGATGGAAAACAAACCAGCCATCAAGCAAGCCAACAGGACCTAAGAGCAAACCCACCCCACTGGCTCAGTCCGTCCTTCCCGGAGTCAGGAACACTTTTTGAAGAACGAGCACAGCCATCTCCGGCTGGCCTGGAAACCCATCCATGCTCTCATGCTTAGACTCTCCTTCCAAGTGCTCCTCTAGCTCTCTTCCTCCACGTCACCCACGTGGGCACAGAAGTAAGAAAGGAAAAGGGGGGTGGGGCAATGTCACATATACACCCCTCGCCACTGCCTGGTGGGGACTGGGCAAACCAAAGCACAGTGAAGCGAGGATGCGCAAGCACTGAGAAGCTGCACAAGTCTTCTGACAATCCCATCTACATGGGCTGACCTGGAAGGTGCCTCCCTTTGCCCAGTCTCTCAAACTGAGAACAATGCTCCAGGAGAGAAGAGCGGAGAGATGACATTACTCACGGAATCACGACCAAGGGCGGCCAACCAGCTAACGCTAGAGCCCACTTAGTTAAGAGACCAGCTTTCCAGTAGCAGCCCAACCCCGTCCTTCACTGAAGTGCAGGCGAGCACAGATGTCAGGGTCAGAAACTGAGGACTGGGGATGGGCGGGGGGGATCTGTTGCACACATGTGCATTGCAGTAAAAGGAGCTCAACATTTTTGTTTCCATGTGTGCTTGACAAAACAAAAACCCGAATCCACTGCTGTCAAGTCAATTCAGACTCCTACCCACCCTACAGGGCAGAGTCCGACCACTGCAGTGTTCCCCCGCCCCCCCCCCTGCCGCCAGTGGCTGGTAAGTTTGACCCTTTGGTTAGCAATCGAGTGCTTAACCACTGTGCCACCAGTTTCCTTCATTCAAGAGACACAACTAAATCAACAAGTGGTGTAGTCGAGTCTAAAATAGAACGATGTGACACCGGCACATACTAGTTTTATTATCTACCTTTACTTCTTTTGAATTACCTTCAGAAGATCTTGAGACATCAAGGGCAGAATCAGGTTGACTCCATACAGAACAACGTCTGCTGCGGATACAGATCTGTTGGCTGCTTGCCCTGGTTCATGTCCTCTAAATACCTCATCTAGGAAAGTAAAAGGAACACACTCCAGTCACTGTAACTTCAATAAATGCCCAAAGTCACTATCATCTACTCTTATATTCAAGGATCTACTCTTAAATTCAAGCCTTAGCGTGAAGATAAATCCATTAGCTGGTAATAAAGAATCCATCCAATAGTCCTTGCTGTCCTGAGTTCTGATACAGAATGAATTTGCTTAAAGCCAAGAGGCAGGCTTCTCAGATTATCGCACCTGTCGCGGTGGTTAGGTGCCATCGAGTCGTTTCCGACTCGGCAACCCCGGAAAGCAGCACTGCCCAGGCCAGCACTATCCTCACTAGCCTATGCCTGAGCCCGCTGCTGCAGCCATTGTGTCCATCATCTTGTGGTGGGTCTTTCCTTTGTTTCGCTGCCCCGCTACTTTACCAGGCTGGTAAAGAGACCAGACTGGTCTCTCCCGACATGTTTAAAGCATGTAAGATAAGCCTCGCCAGCCTGATCAGAGGCACTTGCTATACTTCTTGCAGGCCAAAAGCGGCTGTTCTTTTGGCCGTCCATGGTACTTTCAGTATTCTTCTCCAGCACCACAATGCAAATGCACCGATTCTTCTCAGTCTTCCTTATTCACCGTCTGACTTTCACACACATGAGCCGAATGAAAATACCATGGCTTGGGTCAAATGCACCTTAGTCCTCAAAGTAATAACCTCCTAGCTTTGCAGCACTCTAAAGAAGTTTTGTGTAAATTTACCCTAGAGCGCCTAGTTAATTGCAGAGGACAATAGACCGTCTAGATTGTGAGTCTGATAGTGCCTATCACAGGAGAGATACTAGCTCCATGAACAAGGAAAATTAACAAATTACACACACACACACACACACACACACAGAGAGAGAGAGAGAGAAATGCTTATACAGCATATGAAATGAAACTGACTCATTTCTTTCTTACAAACTAAGCTCTACCTGACTTTAGGAAGCACAGCAGTAAAGTAAAAGGGAAGGAAAACAATAAACGACAGCAAGTCAAAAAGCACTGCTCCAGGAGCATGGGAGCCATCCTGACATTGGCATCAAAATGTGACACTGTGGTTTCTTGACGTTGCTTCCACCTCTAACCCTTCCACTGAGAATTCTGCTTTTTGATGGCTACCACATGAACACGGCACTATTGCTATCATCAAAGACTCTAAATCATGTTCACTGAGTTTGGGGGCGGGGGGGAGCCTTAAGAGAGATCAGGGGTGTTGAGGGGTGAATGAGTCAGGGTTTTTCAGTGAAATGCTCCTTGGACAGCCCTGGCTCACCTTGAAGAATGAGCAGATGTATGGTCGGGATGGGGAAAATTCTCGACCTACTTACTTCTCTTGACCTTTTCCCCACCAATGTAATTCTCGATTTTTTAATGAAAATTTCTTCATAATAAGTTCCTGAAGTGTCCTGTGTTCCTTGGAGAAAATACCAAAATTGTTCCACTAAAAAAAAACCAAAAATCATAATCTTCTGAGCTTTCTTCTCTACCTTGAATTTAACTAGTCTAGAAGATTCCCTGCAGAAGCCACTGTTTCGCTTGGACCTTTTGCTTTTTGGATCGTCTTGATAAAGCCAGGACTCCTGCCATACTCATTAGCTTCAGTCCTGTCGGATTAGCTCATCTTCACTTGAGGTTTTGGGCACCCACTGAGCCACATGCTTGTTGAGGTCAAGCCTCTAGCTTCCAAAGGAAAATGCTGAACCACGTGCGATTCTCCACTTCAGTCGATATCACACCAAGGTCGCGTCTCTGGTCTTCTTCCACCAGCGCCTGGTCTTCAGCCGGTTTCTCCCTGTGTCAAGGTTGATGGGTATCTTTCTCTTGGCTATTTTCTAAGAACTTCGGTCTTTCCTTGAAATGCCTGGTCCATCTACAAGCTGTTGTTTCACGTGGGGCAGCACTCCTATCAACTTCTTGCAAAGCTTCAATGATGTGAGAAAGATGTACACTTTGAGTTTTTTTAAAATTTGGTTACTAAGCTTGACCTCAAAACCGTTTTCTTCATCAGGGTGCAAACATTATCTTGCTGTTATTTGTTGTTGAAGGCGTGGCAGTGAGACTAAAACAAGTGTAATACCGAGAGAACGTGCCTGCAGCTATTCACTGATGGCAGACATGTTTAAACCTGTTTTGTTCAGAATAAACCTAGGGATGTAGGAACTTGAACCCTAGTAGCAGTACCTTTTGGCCTACCTTTTGTGTACATGTTAACAAGGTTTTAATTAGGTTCTTGCCTGTAATAACAGCTATCTTTCAACTGATGGTAGCCAGGCACTGTGCTAGGTACCAAAGATACTTTAGGACTGATCATTAAATTAGGGCGAACGACGTTTATTGCAATACCCATTTTACCACCCAGGTAAAGAGCAGGTTGGGTTAAGTGATTTCCCTAAGGCCATGTTGTTGAAGGCTACCGGGTGAGGCCCAGCTGCAGTCCATGAAGTGCTCAGGTCGACGAGGACACGGACGAGTGGCTACTCAACAAAGCATCCCTGAGGAGAGTGTGGCATGTGGTGGGATCTGAACCCCAGTCCTGTGACCTAGCAGCAAGAGATCTGTGGGGAAGCCACATAAGCACTCTGAATCACTTTCTTCATCTAGAAAACTGAGTATCTAGCAATGGTATCCACTTTCTGTCACAAGATAGGCATGAACAGAGTCTGGTAATGGCTCAACCCATGGAAGATATTACAACTATCATTCTCAAGGGGGAAGAGCCAAGACAGAGGATGGGTTGCTGGTTCCCAACCTCACTCCAACCAGATACTGAAGGCCACCTGTTTTGGACATCGAATCTTCCCGTGGGCTTTCACTAAGAGACAGCCCTTTGCTTGGATAAGACATTTTTAAAAAAGCAATACCAGCCTCCTGTGTCTTACCTGTGTCACTGAAATCTATGAACTCCTTGGACAGAAGATTCGTGAGGAGCTCCATAATGAGAAGCAAGTCTTGGTATTGGTCTTCCTCTGCTGTCACGTCTACTCTTTGCCGCCCTGAGTGATTCTTAGCGTACACTTGCAACAAGGTAAGGCAGGCTTCATATAAGTTCATGGCTTTGGACTGTAAAGGAATATTCATAAATTATACAAGGTAGAACCTCGATCGGAAATGCACATATTCATGATGTTTCAAAATACAACTGAGACAAATTTACTCTGGATTCCAACAGGGGGTCTGACACTTCTCTGAATCCCTACTAACATATTAACCATAAGGAAAAGGCATATGCTTAGGTTATCTAGTTATGTTTCAGGTATTAGTCATTTTCTAACAATAACACTGGAACTCAATTTCTGTTCACTTGATGACGAGCAAACACTGAGGACAGAGCCACTTTACTTCTGCCATTCGTCTGTGTGTCAGAGCTGGTCAGTAGCCACAAGGGGTCTGAAAGCCCAGGCGAGGCTCCCACTCGTCTGCACACACGCAAATGCATTGAAACAGATTTCCAAAAGCAATTTAATGAGACAAAGAAAACCATCTCTTCTTATTAAAGGTATCAGACTTTGTGATTGGACATCCACCTAATTTTTGAAATAAAGATAGAAACTGTCATTTAAAATACTAAAGTCCAAATCAGCTTTCTACCAAGATGGGTCTGTTGCAGCAACTATTTCTCACTTGAGTTTGACAGATTAGCAGATCAGTGAGATCACTGGTTTTTAGCACTTTTTTTAAGATTGGGGTTTTTTTTTTAACTCATTCTGTATGCTTTCCTCTGAGTTGTGAGTTCTTGTTGAAAGTCTTTTCTGAAAGTCTTTTTGAGACAGAAAGATATTTTTAGAAGATAATATTCATTACATTTAAAAAGAAGTGTAGTGAATCTTATCATGTGATGTTGGGTTTGAAAACTATTTAGTCCTCATGGTATTAAATTAGAAAGTGCTTACCTCCCCGAGATAGCATATCTGTTTATGTGCGACTTCGACAAAAACTTCTATAATGAGGTTTACAGTCTCAGGGGTATTTTTGTACACTTCCATCAGCCCAATGCAGTTGGTAAGGAAGTCCATGAGGAAGTTAAAGAGGATGCCCACGTTGTCGATCTGGGTGGCTTCAGCAATGCCACAGAGCGCCTCCAGCGTGGCAGTGATCTCTTGCTTGACTTCCTCCTGCTGACACATCTGCTGGAAGTTCTCTTGATTGATCACGCGTAGGAAACGCTGCTGCAGTGGCTGAAGGACCTATAAAAAAGCAGCGCCGAAGTCCTGAAAGTTCAAGTCACATGGCTTCTTTTGGCGGTTTGGATAAACACTCACTTTTCAAACAGGCAACATGTTGGTGGTGGCTCTTGCAGAGGCAACAGAGCAACAGGAACCGGTGTCTACAGTGGCTGCTTTGCGGGTGCTCCCAACGCAAGGCCCTGAGCTTGACTCCTGAGTGCGCCCACACCACACTGCCACAACCCATCACGCAGCCAGAGGCTGGAGAACTAAGCCACCACAGCGAAAGGCTGCGTGCTTGCTCTACATAGGGCCGGGGAGCAAATACTTTTAGGCTTGCAGGCCACACAGATTCTGTCCCAACTACTCCGCTCTGCCACGGTCACAGGGAAGCAGGCCTTCACAGCATGCAGATTGAGTTTCCCGGTATTTCAGTAAAACCTGACTTAAAACAAGCAGACTGAAGACAGATTTGGCCCAGGGATCGTCATTTGCCAATCTCTGCTGCCATGGTCAAGTCCAACACTAAGTTCTCCTCTGCTCTATTTTTCCGTTCCCAACTCCTGCTGCCAAGAACATACATTCAGATGATCAGCCTGTGTGGGGCCTAAAGGGGAGTCCTCACACCCAGTATGAAGGGGTCTTAGTTCTGAGGAGAGCTATCCATTTGGTAATACACTTTCTTTAACTAGAAACAGCTTG